AAAATAAAATTTATCTGCTACAACATCTCGCTCGTCAGCTTCAACCATAATAATACACGGGCAAACAACCAATACAAACTCAAGGTAAACCAAACTCCAAACTCGATTGCAGAAAATCCGACTCCAGCCACAGGGTGGTCAATACCTGGAACTGCCCTACTCGACTCCGTGGTTACAGCCTCAACAACCCCTCGCAGCTTCAAAACTCAAACTCCTTACCGTGGACCTCACCCCATTCCCAAGAGCTCCTTAAAGGGGGCGTGCATCACTGCACCAGCGTGCCTAACATCCCTGTCTTACCGCCCCCATTTATCTGTATTTACTCCCTTTGTTCCCGTTTACGTTCATACTTGTTATCTTGTAGATGTTTGACAAACAAATCAAAATGAAATGAACAATATTTGGCTGGCTGGAATTTGGCGTCTCCCCACACCTGCCACTCCAGCTCTGGCACCGTGGCTGGATGCTTCTGGTGAAGCTGAAAGAGAGGCAATGCGCTGGCGGCATGTTGAATTGCACAGGCACCAAATGGGTTGAGAAGCACTGGAGGAGCCCTTTTGCATAAACAGTCCAAAAAGGACTTTTCCAATCTGGGCCTTAGCCCCCAGCCCACCTGGGCTGGACGCCCACCAAGCTCCTCCAGCACCAGGAACACGGTCCATTTCCCACTTCAGCCTCTTGCTTTTTTGCGTGACACCCACTGCCCCCCGGGGAATCTCTGAGAAGGAATGAAATTTCCTTCGGCTTGGGACCGTAGTGAAAGCTGGGATTTCGGATAAAGCGATCCGGTGTTTTATATAGAGGGGAGAGGAGGGGAGACAGGGGAAGGAGAAAGAGAAGGAGAAGGGAGGAGAGGAAAGGGGGAAGGAGAGGAGAGGGAAGTAGACTAGAGGGAGAGGAGAGGGAGAGGGGAGTGGGAGGGAGAGGAGGGGAAGAGAGGAGAGGAGGGGGAAAATGGGAGAAAAGAAAAAGGGGAGAGAGGGAGGGGAGAGGAGAGGGAGAAGGGAGAGGAGGGGGGAAATGGGAGAAAGAGGAGGAGAGGAGAGAGGGAGGGAGAAGAAGGGAGGGGAGAAGGGAGACGAGGGGGAAAATTGGAGAGAGGAGAGGGAAGGAGGGGAGAGGGAGGGGAGAGGAGACGGGGAGGAGAGGGAAGGAGAAGAGGGGGAAAGGGAAGGAGAGGGAAAGAAGGGGAGGGGAGGGGACGAGCAGAAAAAAGGAAAGGCGGGGAAATGGGAGAAAGGGGAGGGGAAGGGAGGGAAGGAGAGGGAGAGGGAGAGGGGAGTGGGAGGGAGAAGAGGGAAAGAGAGGAGAGGGAAAATGGGAGAAAAGAGAAAGGGGAGGGGAGGAGGGAAGAGGGGAGGAGAGGGAGAAGGGAGAGGAGGGGGGAAATGGGAGAAAGAGGAG